CCAATACTTGCCCCAACATGCATGGGAAGTTTCATCACGATCCATCAACCGATGTCCGTACCACCGGCAGGAAACCTCGGGTGTTGGCACTCAGTTTGTGAAAATCCGGCCGGAGGCTGTTCCCTTTGTGACGTCATAACTCCGTGACCTGACATGACCTGGTCAATTTTTTTTTACCAAAAGGTGCGCAAGGTTTGCCCCATAAGGTACCCAAAATTTGGCGGCGCTGCGCGCCGCCGTTTTTGCACTATTTCCGAAAAACCTCTGGGGGGGGGTTGCACCAACCCCCCCCCCCTACATGGGCGAGGGTTAAGGACAACACCGACCCCCGTCAGCGACGTCCCAAGGTAGGTACCAGGTAGCCGAGAGAGGGACACAAGGACAATCGTCCCTGTACTCCCTGCAGGTGAGCTAGGACATTTGTCCGCTCGCCTTATTGTATTTTGTATTTAAATTTGATCCCTCATGTCTCACGAAAACAAGTAGGTATATCGCATCTATAACTCCGACTCCAGCTTGAGAAAAAATCGACTCCGACTCCCAACGACTCTGACTCCGACTCCGGCTTGAGAAAAAATCGACTCCGACTCCGGCCGACTCCGAATTCGACTCCGGTTTCCGACCCCCGAAGGACATGAGTGGCCCTCTATTTTCTACGAACTTTTCGGTGAACTGAACTGAACTATGTGAACTACGAAATGAATTGAACTGAACTTTGGCTCTTGCGGGAACAGATTGAACTGAACTGAACTTTCAAAGCGAATCGGAGGCAGTGAACTGAACTGAACTGAAGCAATGTCAATTGAACTTTGAACTGTAGATTACCAAAAGTTCACAAACTGTTCCGATTCTGAAGTTCATGTTCTCAGCAATTTTGTGGCGGCGTGCCAATTAAGAGGGGTTGAGGGTAGGGGAGGGTGGGGTGTGGTCAGGGGTATCGCTTGGGGGGGCTGGAGAGGGGGGTGGCTATCAGCCATGAGAGCGACGCATCAAAGAAGGCTAATTACGGTGACCTAATTTGACCTCGACGTTGACATCGGCCTTCATGCTCTCTCAAGGCACGCTCTGGTTGATGCTCGAGATTTTAGACCTGGCTAAAACAGCCAGCAATTTGGCCAAATGCACTACAAAACAATTTCTTGATCAAAATAGTGACTGGGGTAAGACGGGCAATTTTTTATATTTTGCCCGTCTTACCCCATTTCGTCGCCGACAACAAAAACACGCAGCCTTCGGGCGCCATATTGACGGATTAATTCGCGAACATACACAGTAACATCAGATCTGATAACAAAGCTGGCATAACAGTTTCATCAAAAACAATCCAGCAATAGAGTCAGAAAACGTTACGATATAATATTTTTACTCTTAGAGTGCAACATACGTTTTTAGTTTTTCCATAATATTTCAAATACGACGGACAATACGTACCCGTGCCTTCGCCGGCCAAGAAAAGAGCGTCGGGCGAGTTAGTCGACGCAAGCTGTCATAGGTGGCGCCACGGGTTTAGGCTAGAGGGCCGGTGCCCGTCTTTCCTACCCTGCCCGTCTTACCCCACTTTCCCCTATAGAAATTAGCGAGTTAAACCACAATGCTGAGAGCTATCGCCTTTGATGGTAATGGCAGCCGTTTTAATTATGCTGGTTGATTGCAGTCGGCGAGGCCGGAAATTTATGTTCGCTGAAGTTGTCTTTTTGCAATCTGCCGTTGAGTTTCATGCGTAAAGCTGCAAAGAAGTGCACTTACATTTACAATATTATCATCACTGATGGTAGTGCTTTACAGGCTGATCGCATTGTGAACGTTCATGCGAGCTGGGCGGGGGGAGGGGTAGCCTATCTTTGAACCACTGCTGGATCCAGGGGGATTTAGGGCAAATGCCCCCCCCCCCCACCCCACGGTGCCCGAAATCGACAATTCTGCGTTCTTTTTATAATAAAAAGAAAGCAAAACAACTTTGATAAGGAAAAGTTTGTTTTAAACTGCTCAACAGTGCGTACGGTATCGAAATCCGGGGAGCTTTTGGAAATTGGAGAAACTTTTTTTTAGGGGTTATGCCCCTCCCTGCAGCGTCCAAGACCGCCTGTCTTGATCCGCTAGTGCTTTGAACGTTGTTCATTGTCCTCATTTTCTTTAGACGGGAAGCGCTTATAGCTGGTTGTTTCTATCGATCTGCCGTCGTGCCCGGCTCTGTGGGAAATGAATGGGGTTTGTGTATCGGCTGCTTTGTCGCCGCGATCCCGGGTGGCCGCTATCTTCCCCCGGTCAGAGACGGATGGCGGTCCTCCCTCAGCCCTCGCTCGCGGCCGGACACACGGCCCACATTTCACGCTCAGACAGCAGCGCTTCGAGTTCTATCTTCCATTGGGAATGAAGCCTAGCGAGTTATTAAACTTTGGCTCCCGCTTGTAAATCAGATGTGTCAGTGATGCAATTTGCATGGAACTTTGCCATTCACATGCATTGTGAACTTATTTATTGCCACTACGTTTCATCTTCCAGCTGAAATTGCTCACGATTTATAACACTTCTCAGCATTTCCCTTACATTTCGAAAATTATTTCTCAAGTCATACATCATGCGGAACCACAAGGATATGCATTTAAACTTTCCTCGTGGAATGCTGGTCTGAAGCCAACCCTTGCTGAAATGGACTGGCTGAACTGTAACCTTTCCCGCCGAGTACATTCGGCTGAGCGATTGGTTCCGATACCGCCCAAATATAGCCTCCTGTGTCTTATCACTGAAGCAAGAGAAGACGGGAGCGATTTGTATCCCATATTGTCGTTAACCCGTGTGCTGTCACAGAGCTGTCAAGCCGCGTTGTACCCAACTGGGTGGTAAACGTATCTACCACCGACACACCTAGCCAGACCAGTCTTATTTCTCCTTCCTGGTGTCACAGTGGAGTATGTTGAATGTGTTCCAATGGTCGTTGTGTCTGTCCCTGTCTGTTACCTAGTTCGATCGGTACCGCGTCTCTCTCCCTCTCTCTCTCTCTCTCTCTCTCTCTCTCTCTCTCTCTCTCTCTCTCTCTCTCTCTCTCTCTCTCTCTCTCTCTCTCTCTCTCTCTCTCTCTCCCTCTCGCTGTCTGCACGTGTCGATCCGATTTGGAACTGTTGCCACCTGGTCCCGGGGGACCCCGCCGCGGAACGGCTGGCGTCGTGCGGTGCGCCGCCACGGGCCCACGGTGCGCCGCTCATTGCCTGCGATAGTGGCTATCGGGCGCGTCGCCGGCCGACGGACGCCCGCTCCCGGTCCGCGGGGACCGCTCCGGTGCGTCACCGCGCCCGCTGACGCCGGCCCCCGGCGGCGGTGCGGTGTTGTTTCTACAGCCGCCCGCGCCCGGCCGCTGGGACGGACCGGCTGTCAGGGGGCGGAGAAGGTGCTCTGTCTTTGTCACTAAGTGAGCGGCCGACAGCTCGGCTGGGTGGAGCTGTGGCTCGGAGCTGGAGACCGGTGCCCGGCGGATGTCGCTGTGGCTGAGTCGCTCGCGCCGGGATAGTCGAGATAACCTGCCGCCGGCAGTCGCGAGTCTCTGGTGAGACGGTTGTCGGTCATTGTCTGTGCAGGGCCCGAGTGTCCGTCAGATATCTATCCAGTTCAATGCTTGTCTGAGCTCAGACAAGGAGCTCGCTGACTTGGGAGTAACTGCCGTCATATGATTCTAGTTCCCATGAAGTAAATGTCAGCTGCGCGCGCTACCATAATGCCCGGTGCCTACTGTTTTTAATCAGCTCGATCGAACGTCTCTTTTATATTTTGAAGACTTCCTCAGGGTGATATAGAATAAGGTTCCATTTTTACTTTAAATGGCTCACATTTTGTCTGCGTTGTTTGTTTCGGACGCCATGCGCATGGCGCGTGGCCACTTTTATCGCCGTTTTAAAATGCTTCAGGTAATTATCTTTCCAGAGAACATTTAGCGTGCCGACGTGGGTGACTTTCGTGTGCCTCCCAAGTGAGCACTCTATCTTGGCTGCTAGATTATGCAAGCACGCCGGCCGATTGCCAGCGTCTGTGGTAGTGTTGCGTGATAGGTTACTGTGTGGGGATCGGACGGGCCGTGACAAACACATTTCTGTGGCCGGTCGGACTCTCCCCAGCCGGTAATGTCCCGACCCGATCTTACATTATGTACATCAACGGCAAATTCAGCCTTATTCGAACCTTCGATGGAATCCATTAGTAGGCATTGAGCTAGATGATAACATTAGTGATGACATGCTAAATTGAAAATGGTTTGTTGAAGCTCCCTCATCAATGTAACAAATCAGTAAAACGCTGCACGAAGTTGGGGACTTAGTTGGACAGTTCATACAAGACCAACAAGGAATCCTAGGATGCTTCTAAATGTCTCAGTCTGAGCGGAGAGCTTTCATGTCCATTTACATGATCAGCCGCTTCTTCTGGCTGGGACTTCGAGCTTTATCACTGCCATCAGAATATCCAGCATCTCAGACAGATTGCATGAGATAGACTATCATAGCCAAAGGCACTTTGCCTTGCTCGTGTGCTTAGAGATAAGTATGATATGGAGCTGATGCTGCATGTATCCCGTGCGATATCCCTGGACCCAATATTGGAAGTGCAATGCGCTGAGAAGTGCTGCGCTTCCAAAGTAGCTGATCGCTCCTGTTCCCAGACATTGCAGTCGACACACATGATGAGGGCTACTTGTAAATTGCCCGACATAACTATGATTAATGATAGTAATAATTTATGATTGATGGAAACCGGTACGTCTTGTGTCCATAAAACAAGCTCAAAAACGTGTGTTGATGGCAGAGTGTATGTGATTGACGTGTGTCGGCCCTCGTGTCGTGTCGTTTGGCACACAACATTTGTGCTCGTGTCAGCACCGTGTTGTGTGGTGTGCCTACTGTATCACTGTGCTTGGTATGTGACTGACATGGGCGCAAAATGACCTTTGTAGTCGGCGCCCTAAGGCCCCAAGACGCGAAGGGTATGTGGCTAACGATACCGTTCCTGTTTCGCAGCACGCCGGCCGGATCGAGGCGCACCCGTGCCGCCACGGCACCAAACCGTGCAATGAGCCCAAGAACCAGAACCACAAGATCGTCCCCTGTGAGTAGCGCGGGCGGTGGGGTCGGCGGGTACCGCGGGGACCCGCTGCCGCCGAGGGCAGTCGGTCCCAGCCGGTCCCCGGGCGCGCACCACTGGGTCAGGGACACGGCGACTCCGACAGGTGTGGCGAAATAGTCAGTCACGGCGGCTCATACGGACTATTCCTGTTGTATCGATGCATATGTTTGCCATTTTTTATCTTGCATGAACGAGTTTCGTGGTGACCCACGTTACCGTTTTTGCACGGATTAGCTCGTGCGTCATTAATGGATGGATTTCTGGGTAGAATTACCGTCCTACTGATGGCATGCCCAGCTCATTGATGTATTCCCTCCATTCAGGCGTTAGTTCTAAGTATTTAGTCCTGCCATCAAGCGTTCCTTCCCGAGCCTGACGCCGTGTTGTTGCGCCCCTCAGACGACTACAACCGGGTGGTGTTGGACATGCTGCCCGCGGATCCCGATCCCGTGGACGAGGCAGAGTCCGACTACATCAACGCGTCATACGTGGACGTGAGTTAACGGCATCACTGGTGTGATGCCTGATGTGTGTAGCGTGGCTGTTTGATGTGTAGCGGTGACCATGGGTCGTGGCCGACTTTTTCAGCTACCCTGAATGGAAATGTGTGACAATTGATTGATTATACTATTGGATGGCCTGTATTGGCCATGCCAGTAACACACACACGCACATAACACACATACACACATGCCTCGGGTCAAGAGGTCGGAACCAGCCGTAGGATGGGACAGAGTGATCGAGCGGACTGCAATGGTGGGGCCGAGTTGATTGCATGGCGGGACGGAGCCGTTCGTACGAGCGCCTCCGACCCGGTACTGAATGTGTACCGTCCCTAAGACCGCGGATGGCACCACTACAGCCGCCTGTGATGGAGTGAAGGCTCAGTGAATGTCGTCTTTGTAGGCAGCGTGAATAGCTGAGCAGCTCGTGACATCATGTAAAAGCGGCGTGAACAAACACGTTCGGTGTATATGTTCATCTACGCCATTTTCATGTAGCTGAGGGCATTTGGCTCGGCTGGGCGGCTGACCTAGATGCCCAAGGGAAGTGTATGCTGATGGTCGCCTTTTGGGCTCCGTTCCGCTCCGTTTGCTGGCACACGTCCGCCCGACTCTGGCGGGCCGAGCGGCAGCCCCGCGGCGCCGGCCGGGCATCCCTCGGCGGGCCGTCCGACTGCCGAGCGTGAGATCCGATCACGGGGACCGGTGGAGACGGACAGGACAGGCACCGCTGATCACCCACGCCACAGAGCTGCAGAGGCCTCATAGTGGCACTGTGTTCCGTTATATGATCCTCGGAAGAATGAATGGCTGGACATTTCAGCCGAATTCCGGCAGCAAAAAGATAAAGCATTTGCTGGCTCTGCATAGAGAGCGTTTTTTTATTATGCAATCTGACACATTTGCGTAACAATGGGGGCCCACATGCGACAGCGATGTCTCGTTCCACTCATGATTTTCACGAAAGAAAAGCCGCGGAACTGGCACTGTTTTTGTACAGCATGTTCATTTCGTGACCGGAGCGCGGTCGGTCGGGCCGCGGCCTACCATCACCGTTAGGTGGTAGTGGGTGGGGTCTGAGTACCGGGCCGTTTCGCCGATCCGGTATCAGGCACGCCGTTACCGCCGCGCGCTGTCCTGCCGAAACGCCGATACTAGTCGACCATTGATCGGCGCCTGTGGATTGGTAGCGCCTTAAGGCGGCCGCACACTAGGCCATTCGGCGGGCGACATTCCGCAAAAACGCAATTCCGTGGCGACATTACGCTTTCGTGGACGCCGAATCAGCTGCCGAAACGACAAAATTATCAGCCGACCGCTGCCAGCTAGCTGTCCGCGGGTAGAGTGCGCATGCGCGCGAACAGCCGCGGAGTTGCGGAAAAAGCTGGACCGGTTCAGCTTTTTCCGCGGCGACGCCGCGGACACCCGAAATTGTGGAACTTGAAACTCACCAACTATTGATGGAGCAGCCGAGAAACAGACTTCACTTGATAAAAAATCGTAGCGGCACTTCTTTCCCCATATTAAATGGTTTTTATACACTTCATTGGTTATTCCAATAATGGGTTACTATGTGCCTCTCCACAATTGTCTTTAGGTTTCTTGCATTTGTCGACAAACACCGTTGTTTACATTAATCACGAGCTTTATTTTTTTGCGACTTCCTCCAGAAATTATGTCAAATTAATAGATATTCAAATCTTTATTGTACAGAAATATAGCATAATCGCATTAAATAAGCAAATATTGTATTTGCTTAAATGTATTTAGTTTGCATTCGTTTATATTTATCATAAAATGTTTCACATAAAGTTCCTGAAAATACTAAGTAGAAAATCGCACCGCCGAATGGTCCTGTAAACTGCTGAAAACAAGCGGAAAGTCGCTGTAGGAATGTCGCCCGCGACATTCCGCTTTTGCGGAATCTCGCCCGCCGAATGGCCCAGTGTGCGGCCGCCTTTACTCTGCTAAAATAGTCCGCCTGCGGCCGCAATTATGCTACACCCACGCTCACTCTCAAGGCGGCCGCACACTAGGCCATTCGGCGGGCGACATTCCGCAAAAACGCAATTCCGTGGCGACATTACGCTTTCGTGGACGCCGAATCAGCTGCCGAAACGACAAAATTATCAGCCGACCGCTGCCAGCTAGCTGTCCGCGGGTAGAGTGCGCATGCGCGCGAACAGCCGCGGAGTTGCGGAAAAAGCTGGACCGGTTCAGCTTTTTCCGCGGCGACGCCGCGGACACCCGAAATTGTGGAACTTGAAACTCACCAACTATTGATGGAGCAGCCGAGAAATAGACTTCACTTGATAAAAAAACGTAGTGGCACTTCTTTCCCTATATTAAATATTCCAATAATGGGTTACTATGTGCCTCTCCACAATTGTCTTTAGGTTTCTTGCATTTGTCGACAAACAAGGTTGTTTACATTAATCACGAGCTTTATTTTTTTGCAACTTCCTCCAGAAATTATGTCAAATTAATAGATATTCAAAACTTTATTGTACAGAAATATAGCATAATCGCATTAAATAAGCAAATATTGTATTTGCTTAAATGTATTTAGTTTGCATTCGTTTATATTATCATAAAATGTTTCACATAAAGTTCCTGAAAATACTAAGTAGAAAATTGCACCGCCGAATGGTCCTGTAAATTGCTGAAAACAAGCGGAGAGCCGCTTTAGGAATGTCGCCCGCGACATTCCGCTTTTGCGGAATCTCGCCCGCCGAATGGCCCAGAGGCGGCCGCACACTAGGCCATTCGGCGGGCGACATTCCGCAAAAACGCAATTCCGTAGCGACATTACGCTTTCGTGGACGCCGAATCAGCTGCCGAAACGACAAAATTACCAGCCGACCGCTGCCAGCCAGCTGTCCGCGGGTAGAGTGCGCATGCGCGCGGACAGCCGCGGAGTTGCGGAAGAAGCTGGACCGGTTCAGCTTTTTCCGCGGCGACGCCGCGGACACCCGAAATTGTGGAACTTGAAACTCACCAACTATTGATGGAGCAGCCGAGAAATAGACTTACTTGATAAAGTATCGTAGCGGCACTTCTTTCCCCATATTAGATTGTTTTATACACTTCATTGGTTATTCTAATAGCAGGTTGCTATGTGCCTCTCCACAATTGTCTTTAGATTTCTTGCATTTGTCGACAAACACGGTTGTTTACATTAATCACGAGCTTTATTTTTTTTGCAACTTCCTCCAGAAATTATGTCAAATTAATAGATATTCAAAACTTTATTGTACAGAAATATAGCATAATCGCATTAAACAAGCAAATATTGTATTTGCTTAAATGTATTTAGTTTGCATTCGTTTAATTTATCATAAAGTATTTCACATAAAGTTCCTGAAAATACTAAGTAGAAAATCGCACCGCCGAATGGTCCCGTAAACTGCTGAAAACAAGCGGAAAGCCGCTGTAGGAATGTCGCCCGCGACATTCCGCTTTTGCGGAATCTCGCCCGCCGAATGGCCCAGTGTGCGGCCGCCTTTATGGCTCACTCTGAATAAATGGAAGTCTGGGCCGGCGCCGGATGGAGAAGGCGGTTTCGTAGTTCGCTTTATTTAGGAAAAGAGAGATTAAAGGACTTCTTTGATAGGTATGCTCTATGACATGTAGCTTACACGGATGCTGTTTCCAACTTACACGAATTTTCACACGATCTTGGCCGAGCTATTGTTTGTCAATGTAAATGCGGCAGCTGGTCATTCTCCCATGTTCTGTTGCATAGTATCGTGAAAAGCCATGTGCAATGAGCATTATCATTTGCGTTCATGTGGTATGAATGAGTGCTCTGTAACCCACTCCTTGTCATTTTTTTGTGAATGAACTGTACCTACCTGAGGCCAGTGAAATATTGGTCTACACAGATGGACTGGACCTCCCACTGACTTCCCCCTCTCCATCTGTTATCGCAGAGTCTCCTCAAGCCGAACGCCTACATTGTGACGCAGGGCCCCAACGAGCGCACCCTCAACGACTTTTGGCGGATGATGTGGAAGGAGCGGTCGCCCTGCATCGTCATGCTCACCAAAACGTTCGACTTCATTAAGGTGAGTGCGTCAGTGCCGTCAGAGTGCATCATCTTGTTAGTGCTCCGCTTTGAAGTCATTGTTAGCGTTTGGTTACCAGGCGGCCGCCGCGCTGGCTCGCTGCGGTTGGTGCGCCGGCGAGGCGGCCTTGTTTGGGTCTGCTCCCGAGCCGCGTCCGTCATCTCGCTGGACGCGGCCTTTTATCTCCGGGTGGAATGTGGCGCGGCGGTCAGTGGGGCCAGAGCCCCTCCCCATCACATGACCATTGACCATGGGGCACCGGTGACCACCGTTGTGTCCAGGGCTGCGTCACAGACCGTGAACTCCTCCCTCCACCCCGTCACATGACCGTGGGTCGCCGGTGACCGCCGTGGTGTCCAGGACTGCGTCACGGGCCGTGTTTGGGCGGCGGCACGCGCGCGCCGCTGACGTCACGCCACTCGGCTCCGTGACGTGTCAGCCGCCGACATTGGACGGAAACGGCTGTTTGACGGCGCCCAGCGCTGTGCCGAACCGCCAGCCGCTTTGCGGATCGCGTGCCCGGCTGGCGTGTGTGCTGTGGCTATGGCGGAATGGCGTGGGACAGACCCGCTGCTGTTCACCGACGCCCACGGCCGCTCGGTGTTCGGTAATTTGTGTTCGTTCTGGCATAATTCGTCTGGCATTTAATGTCACCTGTGCTGAACCCAATACCTACCCGTGGAGGTATGGTAGACACGTTAAAGCAAATGCAGTTACGCTGAAAATGTTATTACGCTATTACATGATTTAGCCTGCTGTAGCTGATGTTATTTAGCCTGCTGTAGCTCATGTTATTTCGAAGCGCTCACTTATCTGTTTGAACCTTCTATTATGTGTGTGTCAGCTCCAGACGCAGTTCGTTGCGGCCTAATAGCATGTGGATATGCGTAAAAAAACGTCGCGCGAACTTACAACATTTATTTATTGATTTGTTAAAAGTCGCAATTGTACGAACGCCTCTTTCCGCTAATTGTTTATTTCCTTAACCCTATTAGTGGCAGGGGGGGGGGGGTTGTTTTTGTCCACCCCTCAGGTTTTTGGGGAATATCTCCGAAACCGCTGAAGCTACGATGCTGAAATTTTCTGACTTTTCCTAAAACTAAATTTGGCACATTCCCTGAAAATTTCAAGTTCATAACTTTACCAGGGGCGGCTCCAGAGCACTGGGAATTGGGGGGTCCTATTCGTGAAGCGAGTCATTTGGGCGAAGATCACGAATCACGATGCTGCACCAGTTTTACGAACAGTGAATGAAAGGTATCATGTGATAACATATACAAAGTTATTGTGCATCCTCTTTTGACACGTTTTTGCTATAATAGGCGGATCCAGGCGTCCAAAAAGGGGGGTTATTTTTTACCTCCCAACATAGGTGCCCTGACACCGCCTATGCATGACCAATACAATTTTAGTCGTTCTCTCATAAGAAAATTGTAACATAACAAGACCATTGCCACCCTTTTTAGAAACAGTACCAACAAAAACCTTATTTACTATATTTTTTGTGTACCCCCAATCTCAATGATCTGTATCCGCCTATGATTTTTGAAAATGCATATTTTTAGGATCCATGTGAATTCCTGGTTCATTCTCTATCGATCGGCAAAAGTTGCGTTAAGATTGGTTCAGAAACCTGGCCGTGATAAACAGTCTAAAATGTATCTGCAATTTGCCCGTTTTTACCCCCCTCTACCCCCCTATTGACATTTTTTAATTTTTTTTTAGAAATGTAGATCTCGTTGAGCCAAATCGAATGCCGTTTGAATTTTGAAAATCGGCCGGTTAGATCTCGAGATATCAAGGGGGGGGTCGTAAACAGCCCCCCCCCCCTGCCACTAATATGGGGTAGCCAGGAGCCTGCCACTAATAGGGTTAAGACCTTACTAACTTGAGTAACAGGCACAGAAGCGAATCTGCGACCAAGGCGTGCTAAAACTGCGGCACTTTCGTTTCCTGTCAGTGATTTGTGGTTGCAGCTACATGCAAACAGCCGTGTCGGCTGCGGGCATTGCCTGGGAGGAATGCTATTTCAGCTAGAATCTCGACCGGCCGTCGAGAGTCATGTTTACCTGGCACAAGTTGGCTGACCTTTGAGTTAGCTCCACTCCACTTGGCCTGGGGGGGCCGGCGCGGCGGCTGTCCGCCGGGGTGACCTGGTCGCTGACAGTGGACCGGTCCGGCGGAAGAAGGGTGGTGCTGAGGTGCTGACCAATGCGCCGGGGCTGTCCGCTCCTGATCCGTGACTGACTGATTCCATCCGCCACTCTGCTGATTATTAAAGCAGTTTCTGAGGAAGGTCTGCCAAAAAGATTGTTTTATTGATGGCATTGGCAAATAATAGGCGCACAACGTGTGTCTCCGAAGATGCTGGGTGTGCCGAGCAGCGGTGTCAGCGACAACTTCCTTGACCAGCGCGATGATCACCACTGGTGTAATGCTGGTTGTTGCCAGGCCGCTGGGCCTATCTCTTTCCCTGTGGAATAATCCTAATCGACTTAAGGAGCACTGGAGGCATTCCCGTTCCAGTTCGCCGGAAACAGGCAGTGTAACATTTCGGCCAGTTAAGCGGGACTGGGTTTCCATTGAGCGGAGAACGCTGGCTAAATGTAGTTGCATTTGTAAATAAGCGTCGCTATATGCACAACTCCCATAAATGGCGAGGAATTCTGTGGAGTCGTAGGATTTTGCGATGTTTGACGCGAAAAGCAATGTTGTGCTTCAACTCCAGTGGTTGGGACTGTTTTATGTGGCACGGCTCTGTTTTACGTTCGCCTGGACCGGATATTCGCTGAGCGGCGCGGCCGCTGCCTTGTAGTTCGGAGCTTCTGGGAGTCCGCCAACTCTTTGTATCGAGACCGGATGCCGTTGGACGCTGCTCAGACTGCGTGCATTATGGAGCTGGAACGCGAAAGGTGGTGTGGCAGTTTTGGACGCGAGGAAATAGTATTGTGGGGATGTTGGAATTCTGGTCTCTATATTGGTAGTTATCTTGGCGTAGATATTGATTAATTGAAGCTCATGTTTAAGTTCTCTAAACCCAAGAACGATTTCATGTCTCAATAGAAGGTTGCGTTGCCAGCTTCCAGTGAGTTGGGGCTCTCAAAATTGTTTTCTATTTATTGCTCTATTTCGGGCTCCTGTGTTTGATTGGTCGTTTGAGAATGTGATCATAATTAAACCGTAAGTTGACAATAGTCATTAACCTTGCTCAAGGTAAATACGTAATCTGGTGCTCGCTACGGGTATTGTTGGCTTTTCGGAGTCCACGTCAACTCTCTTGTCTCTCCTCCCCGTCTTGTCGCTGACGTTTAGATTCTCGCACTATGGGCGCCAACTACCTCTGCACTCTGCAGTCCAGACACTTGAAAACCCCCAAAACATCGTAATTTCACGCACCCTGCACGCCGTCCGCACCGCTTGTGGTGAGGAATCCACTGGCCGCTGGCGTGTCTAGGCGCAGTGCCTTCCCGACTGTCGGGTGCAAGTCTGATAGACGAGAGACACGTAGCATAACTGCCATTAGCACCGCTTAGTGCTGGAGTCTTGGCGCAAGCGCTGCCTGGTCGCTGTAGTTCTAGGGATGATGCCCCTTCCGGTGAAGGGGCATTTGATTATTCTTCTCGTCAGTCGTCAACACTTATTTTACATCTTAGGCGCGTTTGTATTTCAACTTAAGTTGCTTACCTACCGACAAATGCTGGTGCTCATCGACAAATTACAAATGTTGCTTGTTTTTCGATACCGATGTGACTCGTATTTGTTCAGAACCGATACCGAGGATGAATGTTTTCCTGTTATCAGATTATTACCAGGATGTTCGTAGGAAAACGCAATGTTGCGTAGCCTGTGACCTCATCGTTAAAAGGATATTGCGTGCTCGAATGTTTCATATCGGGTCTTCTTTCGGCTTTTGGTCGTTCAGACTATCCTTTGAGTGTACTTATTGGCGTATTTTGGCTGTGTTTTGGCCGTCACAGCTGTGCTGCCTGAATGTTATGTGGACCGTATAACCAGTCCGCTGCGTCAACTGCACAGTCTTTCAGAGTTTGTAGCTGGGGTTTACCTGAACATTCCGTGAGGTGTTGATTCTGAGAAATGTCGTCAAACTATGGTCGTTGCTCCTTGGCGCTGTTGTAAATGGCGGTATAGGGCAGGTGCAGTGGTTCCGTCAACTCACGGTGAAGGCAGCGCCAGCAGCAACCCTCCGAGAGCCATTGATCGGGGACAGACGGTAAGCGTCATTGATCTTGTAGGTAACTCTGGCGGTCGATCTCACTGAGATTGTGGTAGCTGTTGGTGCCGGTTGCTCGGCTCGGCTGGGGTGCTCACCACCAGCTGTGTCCAGGTACCGGCCACCGTGCTGGTACGTGGACAGACACAGCGACTGCTCAGTGCTCAGCGCTGGGGCGTAGCCAGCTACGGCGCTGGCATGTCCCAGCCACGGCGCTGGCTGTGCCCAGACAGCGCTGCAGCTGGCACGTTTTGGTCACTGCCACAGTGCAGACACGTCTCGGTCACGGCGCTGGTTGTGCCCAAACAGCGCCGCAGCTGGGCCGTCCCCGGTCACGCCAATCGCTGGTGAACGCCGCAGTATCGGGCTGTGATTACACCACAAATCGATCCCATCGATCCGACAGATGCGACGTTCAACTAATGAGGAAACATCGACCAGAGGATGTCGGGCTGAAAAGGACAACACTTGTCAACTGAGACCCCTAATTGGTCCAAATTTCAGGATTTATTTCAGACGGCTGAAGCACGTAATCCTGGCGGCACTGCAGTGCGGATTTCCGTGCAGAAATGCTCGGTGTCCGCCAGCTGGCCGAGTGGCCTGGCGTCCGTCCCGCCCCCATCCCTCCCCGTCTCATGGCCAGCGCGGCTGATTAAGGCCACAATCACGTGCCGTTCGCCCCCGCACCCGTCACGTGTCGACTGACGACAGACGGCCAGGCTCCCCCGCGTCAGTCACGTGTCCACTGGCGACGGACGGATGGACGGCGCGGCGGCCGGCCGGACTGACCGCGCTGGCTCGGGCGCCATCGGCTCTGAGATGGAACTGGGAAGCCACTCGATGGGCGCCGGACTGGCGATTGGACGGGACTGAGTCTTCTCTGGGACTGCACTGGGTCGTCCGTCCCGACCCGACTCCGCCCGACTCCCGACTCCCGGCGCCGCGCAGTGGCCAGCTTATGGGCCGCGGCACGGCTTACGGGCCAACTTTGGGGCGCTGATGTATGCCGAAAGTTGGCCGGCCTGGCGCCGTGGCCGGATGCTCTGCGGGTGCTGGTACTGCGTGACCTGCCAGAGCGGGGAGGCCCGACTGCCGGTCTCTGGCGCCGACTCGGCACTTCTGCCGCCGAGAGGGCGACATCAATCGAGTCGGAAGGAAGTCGTTAGCGAACGCGAGCACGGTGATACCCTATGGTTCTCTGATCTTGGCGTGTGAACTGTGACTTTCTGCTCGTTTGTCATATGTCAGACGACTCCCTCGGACTCCCAGCAGACTCATCTATCTGTTGGTCTGATCGGTGTTCAAATGGCTCTTTCGAATGAATCTGTTTTTGGAGAATCCCATACGGAGTATCTGTCGGCTGACGCCATCCCTCTTGGCAGTCTTCACGCTGTCTTATGATTCAACGTTATAACTTCCGCTGGAATAGTATCGCAAGGCGGGTTATAAGCAGCTATAATACGCCTATTGGCAGGTATCTTTATACAGTTCTTGTATGAACGGGCATGAACTAAAATGCGGAGGGGAACTTGCTGCAATAATGCCACCAAGCGTAAAAATACCGTGCGATCATAACCAACTGAATCCAGCAGTTGTTTAAACGTCGGAATCGATTTGTGAACTTCCGGCAAAGCGCGTGCAATAGCTTGGCTGTTTTGCTGTACCATAACAGTGATGTCAAGCGTTTACAAACATGTGTGATGCCAGCAAGCCAGTAGTCACTTTCTATAGTGTGTCGCGCCTTGGTCGCCAGTGTATTTATGCTGAACGGCAGCGCTCATTATAAGCGCTGTGAGGGGTAGGCTGCGACATACGGTGACCGGCCACGAAGCGCCGGAGTGATGGTAATGCGACATCAAGGAACTTTCTAATGCTGGCAGTGGAACGACGCTTTTCTGCTGGAGTCAGCCCGGGACGCATTTCCAATCCTGACTGTGGGGATTTGGTCCGGCTTTGGAATCGGATGTCTCCCGTTTATCCTGGCTTTGGTCAGTGGAATGTTGGCTTATGGCTAATGGTAGAACTGGGGACTTGCGTGTGGACTTAGTTATGTAACAGACAGTAATGAGGCTCGTTCCACACTGGTACAATGGGGTGCTGGTGGTGCCCTATGGTTGGGCATGCGACCGTCCAGTGTCCATATATCTGTACCTACTGACCCACGACCGTCCCTACACCTGTGCCGGTGCGCTGTACCGGCACCATTACCCTCATCCATTGGTGCTGTATGGACGGGTCTGAGGCTGAGCGGCCGGCCGTGATCGAGTTGTCGCGTGGGAAAGGGTCGGGCCTCATCACGCATGTGGCTGCGCCTGCATAGCTGTATGATGGGACCGGGGACAGACGGTCTAGGTAGTCAAGGGATGGGTGAAAATGTTTTCTTGAGGAAAATGAAAAAATGCCATGATTGCGGTGGCGTGACCTGATAACTCCTGTGTCCGGACAGGTGATGTGTGCCCAGTACTGGCCGGTGGTTACTCTGATAATTGATATGTGCTCGGACAGGTGATGTCTGTCCAGTACTGGCCACGATAATCTTGACCTGTGTCCGTACAGGTGATGTGTGTCCAGTACTGGCCGGTGTGATAACTCTGACCTCTGTCCGGACAGGTGATGTGTGTCCAGTACTGGCCGGTGTGATAACTCTGACCTCTGTCCGGACAGGTGATGTGTGTCCAGTACTGGCCGGTGTGATAACTCTGACCTCTGTCCTTACAGGTGATGTGTGTCCAGTACTGGCCGGTGTTATGACTCTGACCTCTGTCCGGACAGGTGATGTGTGTCCAGTACTGGCCGGTGTGATAACTCTGACCTCTGTCTGGACAGGTGATGTGTGTCCAGTACTGGCCGGTGTGATAACTCTGACCTCTGTCCGGACAGGTGATGTGTGTCCAGTACTGGCCAGTGTGATAACTCTGACCTCTGTCCGGACAGGTGATGTGTGTCCAGTACTGGCCGGTGTGATAACTCTGACCTCTGTCCTTACAGGTGATGTGTGTCCAGTACTGGCCGGTGTTATGACTCTGACCTCTGTCCGGACAGGTGATGTGTGTCCAGTACTGGCCGGTGTGATAACTCTGACCTCTGTCTGGACAGGTGATGTGTGTCCAGTACTGGCCAGTGCTGGTCGACCGGGAGGAGGAATTCGGCGACATCAGCGTCACACTGCTCAAGGAAGAGCAGCTCGCCAACTTTGTCATCCGCACCATCAAGCTCAAGAAGGACGGCGAGGTGGGTACCGGCCTGTGGGCCGAGTTTCCTGAGGACTGGTGAAAGGCGCAGGCGTCAGTTTATAGTTTGGAGCCTGTGATTAAGACACACTGCGCACAGGCACGGCCCAGGGAATGGCAGTAGGTAGGTATCGCCATCAGGTGTGCCGTTCGTGTAGAACTACTGCGCCCCAGACTGTTGTGTAGGCTCACGTGCCGTGCGGCGATACACGCTCCTTGGCGCGGTGCTGTGCCGCTCGGGCGTGCCGGGCGATAGCCGTAATTTCCCTGGCGATATCGTGCCGGCCTATCGGCCGGGTAATTACGACTGGGCGGGCGCCGCGTGTCCTCCGTCTGACCTGCAGTTGTGTCGGCAGGAGCGGACTGTGCTGCAGTTCCACTACACCGAGTGGCCCTGTCACTCGTGCCCCTTCTCCAACGCCATCCTGGAGTTCCGCCGGCGCATCCGCATCTGTCTGCGCCACCGGTCGCCGGACCTGGACGGACCGATCGTGGTGCACTGCAGGTGGGTCGGGCGGGCCGCCGACTGATGACCTGTGACCCCTGGTGACCGGACCTGCCGGCGTATCGGGTGGTCCAGCGACTAGCGACCTCCGACACCCGGCAGCCTGCTCCTTTTGAACAGTGGACAGACTTACCGACTTCGCTAGCACGTGCTTGTATTGGTGACAAACAAACACAATGTGTCATATGTATCCTTACACAATTAACAGTGGCTCGAGGCCCGTAACAAAATTACATCGAGAACATGGCACGGTACAAGTGACAGGCAACCGGGAAAGTGTGACATTTGTTTCGCTCGATGTTTCAACGAGCCGTACTTCAAAAATGCACAAAATATCCACGTAAGTTGAGGATTTCAATTTTAATGTTTGTTTTAGCTAATTGATAGCGTCAGACTTCGTTTTGCGGAAACAGCCAATGGCCGCAAACCGTCCCATTTATCGTCCGCTTGATATGCTTGGTGGTGACTATGAAGTTGCTCCTACCATGAAGGATGGCCACTGTCCAGCCTGCTTGTCTGAGGACTGCTCACTCGCTCGTAAAATATTGACAAATTGCTGCGAGTTCATCCGGCGCCGGCAGTGGCCTCCTATCTGCAGACACCCCTGCGTCCCATGGCGAGGCACTCGTTCGTGTTCCGCTGGCGAATTCTCCTCGAACATCTGCCGGACTGGCAGTCAGAGTTGGTAGCGCAGCACACACCGTTCGGGATTCCCTGCATACACGTGTTTTCGATGCAGAAGTTTGCGTTGTTGGGCGGTCCGCGGCAGTGCCTGTCGACCTTGCACTGGACGCAGTCGCCCGTCCGTGTGTCGCACTGGCCGGTGGTGCACTGGCTGTCCCTCGTGCACTTGCCGCCGGCTGCGCGCTTCTCCTGACAGCGGCCGGCGTTGGTGCAGTACCGGTTGCCGCCGCAGTCCCTGTCCCGGTCACATTCGACGCACGTCTTGTCGCGGCAGAGATCTGTGTCGCAGTCGGAGTTTTGACTGCAGGACTCGCCGAACTTGTAGCGCGGCCGGCAGACGCCCCAGCTGCAGCGCTCGCCGCTGCGGCACTGCTGGTTGGTGCGGCACTCGACGCAGTAGCCGAGCTTGCCGCACGCCCTGCTCAGGCAGTGGTCGTTGTTCTCGCACTTCTCGTGCAGCTGGCGCAGCGGGTCGCAGGAGCCGGACGGCGAGCAGTACTCGCCGGCCGCGCAGTCGGCGCGCGTCAGGCAGACCACGCAGCGGCCCTTGTCGCCGCACTTGCCCGTGTGGCAGTCGCGGTCTCGGCGGCACGCCATGCCGTGCGGCTGCCGGCTGCGGCAGCTGTGCTCGTAGCAGTACTGGTCCTCGCTGCACTGGTCGTTGCTCAGACAGTCGGCGCACACGCCGCGCGGTCCGCACAGGCCCGACCAGCACTGGCTGTGCTCGTCGCACGGCTTCTGGATGGCCAGCTTGCTGGTGCAGACGCCGGCGCGGCAATAGCTGCCGCTGCCGCAGTCCTCGCTGTGCGCGCACTCGGCGCACGTGCCGTGCCAGCAGACGCGCGACTTGCAGTGCAGGCTGACCCAGCACTCGCCGCCGTTCTCGGCCGGCGCCTTGCACTGGCCGTGCAGGCAGAGCTCGCCGCCGGCGCACGGCCGGTACTGCGAGCACTGGGCGCAGTAGCCGCGCACGCAGCTGCCCGAGCCGCAGCTGCCGCCCGAGTGGCACGGTTCGCCGGCGTCCAGCAGCGGCCGGCACTGGCCGCTGACGCAGTGGTGGTCGCCGCCGCACTGAGCGCTGCTCAGACACAGACCGGCCGAGTACCCCGGCCGGCACTGATGCTGCAAACAGCTGAACGAGTGGGGACAGTCGCTGTCGGCGATGCAGGCCACGCACCGACCGGCCACGCATCGTCCGCCGCCCGCGCACGGCCGGTAGCTGTCACACTCGGTCGCCGGCGGCGGCGGGAGGGCCACACAGCCGGCACCCTGTCGGCAAACACACGGCGTCACCGCTTAGCGCCGCGGCGGGTGCAGGCAGGCTACACGGTTTAGGGGTCTGTTTGCTGGTATCTAGTGCCTTTTCACCTTTTCAGGTTGCGTTTATGTGACAAAACGTAGGTGAAGCGATTCAAGTTAAGTTCAGCTAGGATTCATAATTTCTCACACCAGGCACCGATTAGCCGTCTTTTCCCTATGTAACGGCCTGTGAGAGTTTAAATGGGCTCAGCCCGGGGTGGCGTGTCGTTACTCATGGAGCCTAGGTTAGACCATTGGCCATTCTTATAAAGAAAAGAACGGAGGGACGCTCCGTCATTTCTGAGATTAGACGGAATTTGGTTATCATAAAAGGACGAAGACGAAAGACGGAACCCGTTAAAAGAACGAAGCCAGATTGACGTTACCCCCACCCAAAAGGACGCGTTTCCGTATCATAAAGAGACAAAGACGCCTCTGGTGACGTAAGACTTTGCGTTGTTCGTGAAAAATAACGCATCAGAAATAGCGCTGCTCTTCAGCAGCGCTTTTTTACGGCATTGATACGATATTTAGCTGGTTACGAGAGCAGCTTGTGCGAAATGTGTTTCAGGCTGCATGATAATCGATATGTGAACTGTATGACATTGGTCGGGAGTTATTTCACACGAAAATTAGTCAATTTGACATGCAGACCAAGTAGGTACCTATAGACCGCCACCTTATCGTTCTGCAGCTATCGTTGTTTATCGGGTATACACATTTCCAGGCACGATTAGACACCTTGAGATGCAATATCCAGTGAGTGGTAGGTGTTTACTGTTTGCAACTGCCTCCCAGTAGCTCCACCCTCACCTGGCCTGTGTCCTGTGTCCTCTGGCGCCTCGACTGGTATCACGGTTGGAGGTCTGAGTCACGTGGCACTACAACTTCTCGTTAGCACTTAAAGTTCTTGTTTGCACGCAGAGAAATTCGTATACACTCCGCCAGGCTCAAGCGCTCTCGCTGGACTGTCATCGCTGTCCCGACTCACAGGGAAGATCCACAGGCCATTTCTTCCCCCGCTCCCCCTCCCCCTCTTTAGCGTCAGTCCGTCAAAACAACACCTGCGCCCCCCGTCTCTCTCTCTACCTACTCCTTCCCTCTCTCCCTTCCTTTCATCCCGAGCCGCCGCGCGCGTTCGCCGCGCGCCGCGTCGTCCCCTAGAGCGATAAGATGCCTTATCAGTATCCCCTTCTCTTTTATCTCTACCGCCTGTCCCGAGCCGCCACGCTAACTCAGGGTGTCTGCGTTGTTCCCTTACCGCTTATTAGACACCCTATCACTGAGTAAGACATAGGCATTACCACATTTATACGCAAAAACAATCTTTGGTGGGGTTCAGCCTAGCAGGAAAGACTACAACATATTACATACTTCGCCTATCTATATTATCCTTGATCGTAGCCAAGGCCTCTGGCCAAGGCTATGTATCGTAGCAGACAACAGTCCCCGGTCCCATAAAAATTCAAATATGATCCCAAATAATTGCAGGTTCTCATTTTATTATACCCATATAGCGATCACACAGTATTTTCTTAGTCTTATTGCATTCTTTGTGACGAAATTTATAAGAAAATATTGCAGGAAATAATTCCTGTTTCATTTACTAAAGCTCTTGATCATTTAGACGAAAAACGCATCCTAGCAAAACAACGAAGGGGGAGGGGTAGAGGGACGGAACCTTTATGATAACCAAAAAGGACGAAATCGTTTAATTCATTGAGTTCTTTTTTTCCTTCCGTCCCTCCGTCCTTTTTCTTTATAAGAATGGCCATTTTGTGGCCCACGTTAGATCCTGTCGCTCTTCACGCAGCTTATGTTGATCCCTGTCGCTACTCACATGGCAGGGTGCTGGCTTTGGGTGCAATAGGATGGTCGCCCCGCGTCCCCCGAAGCCGCTGATCGCGTCCTTTAGCAGTCGGAGCCTCGGCTGTCGGTTCTCTCCCTCGGCGCTGTCGGACGAGGAGTCCGTGTCGGCCGCCGCTGCCGCCGACACCTGGGACAGACCACGGAAACGAGTAACACGCCGCGTCGGGAACAGCGATACACTCACGACAGCTCGGGAGAACGGAGTGTGCTACCCAGCTCGGGACACGGGCATGATAAGAGCCTCCGCAAAACTACTTTCGTTTGTTGACTGATCACAGAAACCCACATGCACAGCTGATGTATTTCGAAAAGGAAATATTTGGTTTGGAAAGTCTGGTTCGTTTAATGTGTTTGCTTTAACCTTTATTTACTTGCTCAACATAAACGTAAACTTTGTCGCGAAGTCGAGGCGAAAACCACATATGAAGTTCCGTATAAAATGTCAGCTCGTTGGTCGGTTCACCGCTGAGTGTTGCAGCTCGGAGCGGTCGGACACTCACCAGAAGCAGGGCGAGTAGATGCAGGCGCGCCATGGCGGAGGGCGTGCCGGTGACCCGGTCCCAGTGGCAGTGCTGCCGGCCACTGTGTGCGCCGTCATATATAGGCTGCAGCCACCCAGTGTGACCTGCCGGGGCGGCCCGAGAGTCCGCCGAGCGGCTGGCTGGCCGCGCCAGTCGGACCGGCTCGGAGCCCGTTCCCGGCCGGCCGGTCCGACAATCCGCCCTGGGAATCCTCTGTCCCTGCCTCACACCTCGGCCCCGTACTCACAAGAATGCCGCGAGAGCTCGCTACGGACGGGGTGTCGCACAAGATCTGAGCCATGCGAATAGTGAAAAAGGAAATGGACTGGCGACTGGGGTGCTAGCATCGAGCTGACTGAAAACACCAAAATGTTCGAACCGAAGATTGCCACCAAATATTCATATCTTCGGTCCGAATATGTTGGTGTGGTAGTGCCGACATTATTTCAGTTGAAATCGTTCCTTTGTTTCCTATTATGTAGGGAGGTACTGGTGTTCAATAAGAGTGTGTCTTGCTGACTCGGGTATTGGTGTAGTGCGTAGGCGGTCTCGGTAATGCGTGGTTGAAATACAGTTTCAAGCTTGTTAAGTGCTCCATATTTCCGACTTTTAGTCTCAGATTGATACGATGTGTCTGTGTCACTCTTTCACTGCTCACACTCAGACCATAAGGCTCCCGCTAACCGAGTTTAGTTGATAAAGTCTTGAGTTGGCAAAGTCATTCATCCGCCTGTCTCCAGGAAAACATGCATTGCGTAAATGTGTCACCCAGGCTTATTCATTTTATGCTTGATGAAACACAAGAAACTGAGGATAAGATGTCAAAAGATCTCAAAATTTCCAGAGTGGATCCCATTGCGTCGGCGAAATCTCCACAGGTTCAAAAGCATCCCGGGTGAGGCTTTAAAGCTTCCTGGATTTCAGCAAATCGCTTGCGTTTGACAACGGTGGTCAAGAGGGCCTCTTATTCTTGGGAGACCTCTTGAAACCGTATGCTTAAACCAAGATTTCCCCTCGTTACACAACCAGCTTATGTTGCATGTCCGGTGGGCATTAACCGACGATTATCCCTGCGCGTGGTTTTGCCATTTATTTATTATAATAGGCATACTTATTTATTTAGGTATGTATATCATAGGTCCGATAAGTCAAATAACTAGGCGTTGATGTCTGTTTTAAAAATTATAATAAGGTTATCATGAAGATAAGACAGGTTACCGAGCTGCTAGCAATAGCTACTTAAGTCGCATACCGTCTTGAAGATTTAATGACCATTTACCCAAGTACTGGCGAGTGGCGATCTTAAGGCCGCCCCACACTGGAACTCGCATGCGGGTTGCGAGTTTTTGGGTTTTCGGGTTTCTTCAAAAGCAAATAATACAATCTAAGCTGAGTGACCCTCACTACCATCTAACAAGCGAGTCTGCATGTTTTTAGCTTGTGAGCGACCTTGCATCGCATTCCAAAAGTTGATTTTGAGTCAACTTTTGATTTTCCTCGCTGCGAGGTCTGCGAGTTCTGCGAGGTTTGCGGGTTTTTCGTTGAAGTCGAATTTTGGTTCGTTGTGCTGGTATTGCGACTATATGTAAGTTTCTGAAGGTGGACCGGCTTCACTGTATTCATGAAGTTACCATAAGGGAGCGGTCTAATTGCTCTATGAATTAGTATTATGCCCGCAAACTCAAAACCCGCAAACTCGCAACCCGCATGCGAGTTCCAGTGTGGGGCGGCCTTTAGCCGGGTTCCAGCGCGTTATTACGTTAGAGCTAGTGCGTACGTTGGCTTGTTAGACGTCGCAAGGAGTTTTGAGCTAAAAACTAGCCACCTGAAACCATGCTGGCTGCCGAAATAAGTTGCGGAAAACATGGTTGACCCGGATGACTGGCTTAGCGCTAGCGAAGCAGCTTGGCGAAGTAAAGCCAGTGAACCGCCGAGCGGCTGCTTTGTACTCTGAATAAGGGAGCGCGCGCGGGGTGTGCGCCTACTTTCGCTGTTCTCAGTAAGTGGGCTAAGCGGTTCATGTGAAAGTTCGCCGTGTCTGTAATTATAATCCTTTCGCCACAAGCTGGATGGATAATCCAGTCATCCACCGTATGATCCCTGGACGTGCCGGAATGTGCTGGGTGGTAAAATACTTCCAAGCGGTTCCATGTCTCAGATCGGTAAGAGGGTAACGATCATAAACGGCTGTCCCACTGAGCCATGGTTTGGCTTCTGTTTGCTATGGAATCAGCACAAAAAATATCGAGCATTGTTCGAAATCGACCAAAATCACTAACTAATAAGTATTTTTTAGTGGGAGGTCAAAATGAAACATGCGTGGTGGGTAATCGTTGACTCATGAGGAACTGGAAGCTGCATCTTCCGTAGAATGAACGTATGACATCCAGAGGCATACAGAGGACTTGCACGTAGGAGCGTGTGATCACCAGCTAGGCATATTACAACAGCATCGTTTGTTTCAGGGGGGGGGGGGGGACAATCGCTGTCGTAATTGCGGGTTAATGCCTGGCTTAATTTCAAACACTGTACATTTGTACAACGCATCGCTATCTCAGCTAGTATCTGACAACGTGGTCTGACACTAAGTCTGATACTTACTACACTAACATTGCTTGTGATCCCATATTTACCTTCAGGCGATCCTTTGTGTTCGGCTTCCTCAGTGCTCGCCTACATATGTCACATCAGATCAGTCGGCAACCGGCTTTTGTAAAATTGATCCAGACGAGTGATAATCGTACATTGCCACCTTGTTGAACAAGTATCAGGTGAGATCGCCATGTTCGGCGGTCCCAAACTGCGTTCAGCATGTCGTGTCTAAAAAGCAGACGAGATTAGCAGACGAGCCCATGCTCAGTAACTACTGGACCGATTTTGATAATTCTTTCATCATTCAATAGCAGGGAACTTATATAGGTGCCGTTTTTCGTTTTTTGGCGATTGGTTCACTCTGACTGGACCAATCGGACCAAAATGGTCCAGAACCATACACCCCCTTAAAAGCAGACGAGCCCATGCTCCGAAACTACTGAACCGATTTCGATGAAACCTTCACCATTAGACGCGCCGTGGTCTGAAACGGTGCCGATTTGGATAATTTTCTGATTGGTCCACCCTAAGTGGTCCAAATCGGTCCAAAACCACTAAAATCTGTTGCAGACGAGCCCATGCTCCGAAACTACTGGACCGATTTCGATGAAACCTTCACCATTAGACGCGCCGTGGTCTGAAACGGTGCCGTTTTTGATAATTTTTTGATTGGTCCACCCTAAGTGGTCCAAATCGGTCCAAAACCCCTAAAATCTGTTGCAGACGAGCCCATGCTCCGAAACTACTGGACCGATTTCGATGAAACCTTCACCATTAGACGCGCCGTGGTCTGAAACGGTGCCGTTTTTGACAATTATTTGATTGGTCCACCCTAAGTGGTCCAAATCGGTCCAAAACCGCTAAAATCTGTTGCAGACGAGCCCATGCTCCGAAACTACTGGACTGATTTCGATGAAGCCTTCACCATTAGACGCGCCGTAGTCTGAAACGGTGCCGTATTTGATAATTTTTTGATTGGTCCACCTTAAGTGGTCCAAATCGGTCCAAAACCGCTAAAATATGTTGCAGACGAGCCCATGCTCCGGAACTACTGGACCGATTTCGATGAAGCCTTCACCATTAGACGCGCCGTGGTCTAGAACGGTGCCGTGTTTGGTAATTTTTTGATTGGTCCACCCTAAGTGGTCCAAATCGGTCCAAAACCCCTAAAATCTGTTGCAGACGAGCCCATGCTCCGAAACTACTGGACCGATTTCGACGAAACCTTCACCATTAGACGCACTGTGGTCTGAAACGGTGCCGTTTTTGATAATTTTTTGATTGCTCCACCCTAAGTGGTCCAAATCGGTCCAAAACCGCTAAAATCTGTTGCAGACCAGCCCATGCTCCGAAACTACTGGACCAATTTCGATGAAACCTTCACCATTAGACGCGCCGTGGTCTGAAACGGTGCCGTATATGATAATTTGTTGATTGGTCCACCCTAAGTGGTCCAAATCGGTCCAAAATGCCTATAACCCGTTTGTACTTTGTCAGAGTCCCGATAGATTTCTGCAGCACAGAGGTGCCCCAAACCCATTGAAATGCATTTTGCTTTCCAAACTAGAGCAAAAATGCATGCTGATTGGGCCTGGGGCACCTCCGCGCTGCGGAAACCAGCTCATCGGTTGACTACGTGAAAACGTATTTTTGGGCTGTACTTAAACCGATTAGGACCACTTAGGGTGGACCAATAAAAAAATTATCCAAAAGCGGCACCGTTACAGACCACAGCGCGTCGAATGGTGAATGTTTCATCCAAATCGGTCCAGTAGTTTAGGAGCATGGGCTCGTCTGCAACAGATTTTAGGGGTTTTGGACCGATTTGGACCACTTAGGGTGGACCAATCAAAAAATTATCAAAAACGGCACCGTTTCAGACCACGGCGCGTCTAATGGTGAAGGTTTCATCGAAATCGGTCCAGCAGTTTCGGAGCATGGGCTCGTCTGCAACAGATTTTAGGGGTTTTGGACCGATTTGGACCACTTAGGGTGGACCAATCAAAAAATTATCAAAAACGGCACCGTTTCAGACCACGGCGCGTCTAATGGTGAAGATTTCATCGAAATCGGTCCAGTAGTTTCGGAGCATGGGCTCGTCTGCAACAGATTTTAGCGGTTTTGGACCGATTTGGACCACTTAGGGTGGACCAATCAACAAATTATCAAAAACGGCACCGTTTCAGACAACGGCGCGTCTAATGGTGAAGGTTTCATCGAAATCGGTCCAGTAGTTTCGGAGCATGGGCTCGTCTGCAACAGATTTTAGGGGTTTTGGACCGATTTGGACCACTTAGGGTGGACCAATCAACAAATTATCAAAAACGGCACCGTTTCAGACAACGGCGCGTATAATGGTGAAGGTTTCATCGAAATAGGTCCAGTGTTTCGGAGCATGGGCTCGTCTGCAACAGATTTTAGCGGTTTTGGACCGATTTGGACCACTTAGGGTGGACCAATCAAAAAATTATCATAAACGGCACCGTTTCAGACCACGGCGCGTCCAATGGCGAAGGTTTCATCGAAATCGGTCCAGTAGTTTCGGAGCATGGGCTTGTCTGCAACAGATTTTAGGGGTTTTGGACCGATTTGGACCACTTAGGGTCGACCAATCAAAAAATTATCAAAAACGGCACCGTTTCAGACCACGGCACGTCTAATGGTGAAAGTTTCATCGGAATCAGTCCAGTAGTTTCGGAGCATGGGCTCGTCTGCAACAGATTTTAGGGGTTTTGGACCGATTTGGACCACTTAGGGTGGACCAATCAAATAATTATCAAAAACGGCACCGTTTCAGACCACGGCGCGTCTAATGGTGAAGGTTTCATCGAAATCGGTCCAGTAGTTTCGGAGCATGGGCTCGTCTGCAACAGATTTTAGGGGTTTTGGACCGATTTGGACCACTTAGGGTGAACCAATCAAAAATTATCATAAACGGCACCGTTTCAGACCACGGCGCGTCTAATGGTGAAGGTTTCATCGAAATCGGTCCAGTAGTTTCGGAGCATGGGCTCGTCTGCAACAGATTTTAGGGGTTTTGGACCGATTTGGACCACTTAGGGTGGACCAATCAAAAAATTATCATAAACGGCACCGTTTCAGACCACGGTGCGTCCAATGGTGAAGGTTTCATCGAAATCGGTCCAGTAGTTTCGGAGCATGGGCTCGTCTGCAACAGATTTTAGGGGTTTTGGACCGATTTGGACCACGTAGGGTGGACCAATCAAAAAATTATCAAAAACGGCACCGTTTCAGACCACGGCGCGTCTAATGGTGAAGGTTTCATCGAAATCGGTCCAGTAGTTTCGGAGCATGGGCTCGTCTGCAACAGATTTTAGCGGTTTTGGACCGATTTGGACCACTTAGGGTGAACCAATCAAAAAATTATCAAACACGGCACCGTTTCAGACCACGGCGCGTCTAATGGTGAAGGTTTCATCGAAATCGGTCCAGTAGTTTCGGAGCATGGGCTCGTCTGCTTTTAAGGGGGTGTATGGTTCTGGACCATTTTGGTCCGATTGGTCCAGTCAGAGTGAACCAATCGCCAAAAAACGAAAAACGGCACCTATATAAGTTCCCTGCTATTGAATGGTGAAAGAATTATCAAAATCGGTCCAGTAGTTACTGAGCATGGGCTCGTCTGCTAATCTCGTCTGCTTTTTAGACACTCCCGTTCAGCAGACACATGAGAGATGGCGAAAGCTGCCGGCGTCAATAACAGTGATTTTACTCAGCTCTCAGTCACGTGAGCTGTCGGCTCTGAGTCTGCTGCTTTCACGGATGACGGGAAGCGGCGCGTCGATTGCACGGTTCACATCTCATACCGCTCCTCACTGTCACTGGCGGCTGTGTCGGCGCCTCTGTTTGACCACGAAGTAGGCCAAAGGTGCAGTTTCCATTCCGGTTAATAGGTGAAGTTACGCAACATCTGGCAGCCATGGCTTGTTAGAAACTGTGGATTGGTGTGTGCAGCTGGTAATCTCGTTTCACACCCATGTTCACTGATCTGACGGTGTGTGTGAAGTCGGTGACCGTGCGTGGCCCGTCTCTGCCGCCAGTGACGGCGCCGGCCGGTCGGGCGTCTTCCTGGCCATCGACGCCAACATCGAGCTGGCAGAGGAGGACGGCGTGTTCGACGTCTACGGCTACCTGAAGAAGATGCGCCAGTCGCGCCGCGGACTTATCGAGACCATCGTGAGTGGGCAGCGGCGTTGGCCGCGGGGGCTGCGGTTGGCCGGCGATGGAGGCACCGTGTCTACCGGACTGTCGGAACCGGGCAGGAGAGAGTTGGGAGCCCGGATGAGCGGACGGAATATTCGTTCAGGCTAGGCTAGGTTACGGTACAGTGTCTTTTTCTGGGTGTCGAGAGTGCTGGTGTACCAGAATAAACACAGATGTGTTTCTTAAAACAATAAAAATATGCCCGTGTCAGTTATGTTATCGTAATCGAAGCTTTGATAACCCGTATGACGCTTGTCAACTTCAAGTTTGTGTCTGTTATGCGCTCACTTTGGACCAGCTTCCAAATTCGTTTTCTTCAGTGTCCCGTGGTCAATACAAGTTCGTGCCTCAGGCCCAGTAAAAGTCTGTGTCCCTCTATGCCCCAGGACCAGTTTGTGTTCCTCTGCGCCGCGGGACCAGTACAATATCGTGTTCTTCTATGCCGCAGGACCAGTATAAGTTTGTGTCCCTCCATGTTTCAGGATCAGTACAAGTTCGTGTACGACACTCTGGAGGAGTTTGTCACCTGCGGCTACTCGTCGTTCCCCGTCTCGGAGCTGTCACAGCGACTGAAAGAGAAGGCCGTCAAGGGCCCCGACAAGCTCAACGACTACCAGCGCGAGTTCAACCAGATCTGCCGCCAGGTGCCCAAGTTCACCATCGGCGACTGCGCCGGCGGCCACCGCGCCGACAACCGGCACAAGAACCGGGACGTCATGATCGTGCCGCGTGAGTGCCGCCCCCGCCCCCTCCCCCGCCCCGGGCTGTCAGCGGGCGGCCGGCGCAGACGGAGCGGCGGCCCTGACACAGAGACCCAGTGCCGGCGGCGCGGTCCCGGCCGGCCCGCCCAGACGACCTGACGCGGACGGGGAGGGGACGCCGACGAGCGTCCGTCCGAGACTGTCACCCGTCTCACATACCGCCCGGGCCCGCGTCCGAGTGGATATTGTTTCTCTGAGCTTGGCAAAGGTCCAACTGAAATCGGTCCAGTAAATTATGTAAGCATATTGCTGCGAGTCGGATTAGGAATATATTACGGTTATGATACTGTATTTGTACTTTTCTGTGATCCACGATGTGTTGTAGGATGCGTGCGTCTGGTGTGGTGCCACGCCCTTCTTTGTTACACTTGCATGTAAGCGACTCTGTACCACATGAGCGTGGTGACAAAGTCGCGGCGCTCCGGTCCTGCCCGGTCCTTATTGGCGCCCCTGCCCCTGTCCCTGTTATCTGTGAGGCCACGCCCCTATCGCTGTCATCGGTGAGGCCACGCCCCTATCTCTTTTGACTGTAAGGTCGTGACGCGACCCTGTTGGCTGTGAAGTTCCGCCCCGGCCCCTGCTAGCTGTGAGACCACGCCCCGGCCCGCCGTGCCGCCCGGGGTGACGGTCTGCCGGCCGGGCGGCGCGCGGCCTCTGGATGCCGCCGGCCGGGTGTGACCAACCTTTGTGTCGGGTGCCAAGCCCGCTGGACGGCGGCGTCCGACCCCGACTGACCCGCTCCCGCCCGGCCCCGTGTTGCAGCCGACAACTTCAGGCCGTACCTGACCTCATTCCAAGGCACCAGCGCCACCGACTACATCAACGCCGTGTTTGTCGACGTAAGTCCTCGGCCGCCGGCCAGCTGCCGGCGCTCGGCGGGGTGTACCGTAGGCAGTGTCCCGACACCCACCGCTGACATGACGCGAGTTCTGGGAAGGGGAAGGGAAATGGGATGATCTGCTGGTGTCAGAAGCTCTTCACGGGATTCTGGCGTAACTGTAAAACCCCGCAGTTGCACCAAGTGGCAGACTGGTTCCGTGGACGGTATTTGTAACCACTTGCTTCACGACTCGTGAAGCAATGGGACTTAACATGGCATTCAGATAAAGAAATCTAACAACCATACACCAGGGGCCAGGGCAGACTTGTCGGTGAGCGGGGTGATCGGAGTTGCCAGCAGAGTGCCCTAGTGAAATGTTTCGAGACTTCGGGTTCCAATGCTGGGCATAGGAAGGGTTCTGGTGTTGAAGGGACTGCCCCTTCTGAGATCAATAATGGGTGTCCCTTGAGGTTTGGATGAGTCTGTCCCTTCAGCGTTCTCAGAGCGATAGGCCATCTCTAGATACAGAGCGGGGGCTGCCCCGTCAGGGATCAGTGATGGGTGTCCTTTCTGGTTACGGAGGACCGGCTCGTTATGGGTACCCTCTCGGGATCCTGGGGGGGGGGGGACCTCTGACTGGCCCGTCAGAGGTCGGAGTGATGGCGCCCTCTCCGGGTAGGGCGGGGCGTCCACCGCAGTCGGGACAGCTCCGTTTCGGGACGCCTCACGCCGGTATGCGCGGCCCGCGCCCGGAATGCGGCGCGCCCGTTAATTTGTCAGGCTCGGTTTCACGGCCGGGGCTGCGGCCGCGGCCGGCGTCCCACGGGGGCCGCCCGGGACCCTCCCCCCCCCCCCCCCCCCCGCCGGACCGGACCGCGGACCACCGGCCGGAGCTGGCTTTCCGCGACCCGCTAAATAGTTGGCAGCGCGTCCGGCCGAGTATTTCTGTCGGCGCCACTGCGGCGTGCCGTCCGCTGAATGACATGCCGCCGCTGATATGACGCCACACGCGACTCAAATAGCCGCGCCCGCTGCCCCCGAGCAATATAGCATTGTTTGTGTGACTTTTTGACGTCTGACCTAACTCTTCAAGCCTTAAAATCATCGCGTGTTTAAAGTGGCCGTAATGGCAATGGTGTTCTCGTTTGTTTCGGTTTCGTATTGACTATTTCAATGGCATCACAGCTGAAATCCACCATGAAGTTGGTGCATAATGCATATCACGCTTCTTATTTGCTGCCCTCACTGCGGCCCAGTTGGTTTAAATCTGCGCATTGCCATTCATCGCCTTGCCCGTGTGACTAATTGCGTTTTGGACCTCAGTTGTCACCCATGGTAGCACTCACTGCTTTGCGTTTACATAGCACCACGTACAATGCTCCGCCGCATATCCACAAACCATGTGTCCGTTGTCAGCACTCGGCCATTTCCCTCTAATTATTTGGCTGGGCGCGCCACTAAACTGTGTTCAGCCGGCGGCGCTTCACGCCGTGTCCAGTGTGATCTGTGGAGGACTCAGAGGCCTGTGAGACCGCCCTGCTGACCGGTCAGTGTCCGTCCGCCCCCGCCCCCGCCCCGCCCGGCGCCGTCCCGTGCCCCTCCAGGAGTACAACCGAGCGCGCGAGTACATCGTCACCGAGTGGCCGCTGCGCTCGACCCAGAGCGACTTCTGGAGCCTGGTGTACGACCACGACTGCAACTCGATCGTGGTGCTCACCAGTCCTGGCGACAGTTCGGTGAGTGGCCGGCCGGCCGGCGCCGCCCGACCGGCGCGCGTCTGTGTGTGTGCGTGTGTGACGGGTGGCGCCGCCGTTACAGGGCTGCACCCACCCGCGCGAGTACATCGTCACCGAGTGGCCGCTGGCGCACACGGTGCCCGACCTGTGGTCGATGGTGTACGACCACGACTGCAGCGCCGTCGTGGTGCTCTGTAATCCGGAGACGTCGCCGGTCAGTCGGGTCTCGCAGCCGCCGCCCCGCCGCAGCAGCAGCAGTTTTTGTGCTGTGTGATCCACGTCACCCTGTATATAGTCACCGCAGGCCGCCGGAGACCTATTTAACGCCACCAGTTTTACCCCGTCGCCACCAGATCAGACGTGTGCCAAACTGATTTAAAGGTCGTCACCTGACAGCCGTCATGTTTGTTTGCTAACCGATCGCGGGTTTTCTCGACAGCAGTTTATAATCAACTGTATGTGATTGGCCTCTGGTGACTAGCCTTTTTTAATGTCAGTTTGGCACGTGTCTGGTGACCACTCCCGCTGTCCATACGTGCCTCCGCGCCCGGTCGGCGACGCGTCGGAGGCGTCCCCACCGGCACCCGGCTGTGTCGCTCCCACCACCGGCTGGTTGCCATAACAGCTGCCAACCTAGTTTTTTTGCGTTTGTTATTTTTGTGTCTGTTGCTTTCATTCACTGTGATAGTCGCCATTTTGTGCTTGATGCAGCGTGTTGACAATTCACGCACATGAAGGCTCCTGTGCTTGAGTTGTGAATACGCTGTCTCTGACGTGTTTTGTAAATTATAAAATATGTATAGTGTGTATATTATATACGTAAAGACGCCCATGTTTGTCTGTTTCGCGTTGTTATCGCTGCAGTATTCAGTGTGCGGCGGTGCAGGTTACGCTTCAATGATGAAACTGCACACGTTCTGACTGCTTGTGCAGAGTATTAGCTGCGAGTGCCGACTACTGTGCCGCTGACTGGTCGGCGGGCCGGGATCTGCCTCCCGTCGGAGCGTGTTTCAATTTGTGTTGGCGGTACCCGCGGTCGAGGACCCGGGCCGCCCCCGCGTTGGCCCGCCGGCCGCCGGTGTCGTCACTCCGTGCCACTGATACCTGCTGGTGGCGCCCGTGCGTGTCGACCGCCGCCGGCGCCCGCTGACACCTACTATAGTGATCAACAACTGAGTGTGTTGAATTCGTCATCTTACCTTTGGTGATTGCTTATTCAGATCTCAAACATCCTAGTTTATCATTGAACTACCTATGGCCGTTTCACAGCCAATTTAGTCGTTAGGTGATGAGCATCTGAAACCGGCTGGGATGAATTCAGTTTTCTGAAGAATATTCACTAGACGACATATTTTGCAAGTTATTGACAGACTGAAAAAAATGTGATGCCGCCAGTGGATGTACAATGCATTCATGTAACATCGTTGCAATTTGAGCTAATGTGAAATATGCAATTTCTGATTTTGTTTCGGTACTGCTGCTCATTCGAGCAAGGCCATTTCGTTATATGGGTTCTCTTCGATCGTTAATCGCGCGATTTCTCTAGTGTCACCGGCTTCAAACCCGCAGTGTTGCCTGGCTCGCTATGGCGGCGATACCCTCCACTCTGCCGTTCAAAGGCAAAAACTGCTACGTGAGGCAGCTTTTGCCTTTGCACGCAGCACTTGTCACCATCGCCGCATGCCCCTGTATTCATGTGACTACGCCGCTCCAACCAGTCGTCAGTGATCACCCCGGCTGCTGAGCTCTTTTTACGCGCCTGTACATAGTTTGTGTAGCACTCATTCACTATTAGAGGACGCATTTACACGTGTGTTAACGCGATATTCACCGTAGAATCGTGTTGGCTGGATACCCTGTAATAGCAGTCATTGCTCTCGTCGGTCGTTTATTTTGTGCCATGTTATCCATGAGTGTATGTTCGGATAATGCTGACATACCGCACCGCGCCCCTCCCAGCCTCCCTGTGTACGTCACTGGCCGCCCGTACCGCAGTGCGGCGCCGGTCTGTTCGGTATCAGTACGGAGGGTGGATGTCCCAGGTCCACTGCGACCACTATCAGAGCTCAGAGCCAGTCGAGACTCACTCAGAGTCTGGTCACTCTTCCTTGGTTCACTAGCGTAACTGTGTTGTTTGAGATTTTTGAGGTCCCGGTGTTTGAGGTGTCCTGGCGACCACCGCGGCCACCCTGCCGCCCATGGGAACTCACCCCGACTTGTTGGGTTACAGAGCTTCCCCCACTTCTGGCCGGAGAGCACGCGCTCCAAAAAGTACGGCGCTGTGTTCACCGTGGAGCACATATCGCACCAGCACTACCAGAACATCAAGTCCTGGATCTTCAAAATCAACAAAAAGGTGAACATCGATTCAGACATAAAGCTGCATGGCTCCGGCGGTGTGTTTGTTGCATTCTTAATACGTCTAGTCTTAGCATTAATTTATCATTTTGTTGATTTTGAGTTTTTGCTCTTGTGTTTTTATTTTCTTTTTTGCCCTTCTTTATTTGCTGTGCTCGCACTGGAGTGCCATGAGCCTCCAGCCGTCTGTGTGTCGTGTGTCAGTCGTCCTCCGCATGAGCCGGCGCTGCGGTGGGCTCCGCCGTGTGTACTCACCTCCCGACCGTCGCTATAGGAGATCGCGCCCTACCGTAAGACCATCTCCACCAACGTGGATCCGCAGCAGGGATCGCAGGTGAGTGTGAGGGTGGGGAGGGGAGGGAGGGATGGCAGTGGGTCCGTCTCTTCCTCAAGGGAAGTGAGTCCGACAAACGGTGTCAGTGGAAAGTGCGCTGCATAGTGCATAGTTCTTTATCAATTTACTGCGCTTACATGCATGCTGATGTATAGTCGACTACAGAATGATGTTCCACTCCTCAGAAGCTATCAATTGACCGGAGCGCTAAGTTGTGCCGTTTATCACGCAATTAAACGTGTCGATTATGCGTGAGCATTGGGACAAAGCTATAATTGGTGAACTCAGCCCGTGTGATGCGGCACAGCCTACCACTCCAGGCAAATAATTGCCTGTGAAAAGTGGAACATCATTCTGTAGTCGACTATACATGATGTTCTACAGACGATGCAAGCTTATTTTGATGTAGCTGTTGGTGATTATATGATATGTTATAGATATGATATGCATAGATTTGATATGATATAGGTATATTATATACATATATATTTGATATAGATATGTGATATAGATGTATGATACGTCGTCCACTCCAAAAGTTTTGAGACTGGCCTCGTAAAATCCATATGAACAGTGCTAGATACTTGTTGTTCTCACAAGTCCTTACCACAGTTGTTATAAACGTACTTGCGTAATTTTGTTTTTCTACGTTGCAAAAGACGGCAACGGTGTCACCCTGAACATGGCAAGTCGCACGCGGCTTGTCACAGTGACCAGTGTATAGCACAATTCATGTGAAGACAACTTGGAGGGTCGCTCTGCCATAAAATTTTGGTATTAGCTTGGGAAAAATGCCCGAGAAACATAGCAAATTGACTCTCAAGTGACTTGAGACGAAAGCTGGATGTATTTTTACCATCATGAGACCAAGAGACCGAAGGTCCAATGAAAACACTCTGACTCCTTCGGACCCAATAAAGACAGACAGCGCAGGTCCACTGGGAAGCTCAAATTAATCCCTTACTTAGAACAAACAGGCAAAAGCTTCATAACCTGGGTCCCCTACACGGGCAGATGGTCAACAAGGAATGATTCGTGAAGTTTCTGAGGGAGTTGAGAAAGAGATTTCGCCGCAAGAGGTCGGAACTCTTCAACTGTGGCTAGGGGCTCCTGCACCAGGACAGCGCACACACCCACAAGTCCACCATGGAGACGAACTATCTGACACAGATGTGCGTCAAAACCGTCCGAAACCCTTCCCACAGTCCAGATCTGGCCCCCTGGCTTCTGGATGTTCCCCAGACTGACAGGGAAGCTCAGGGGCTGTCTTTCGGAGGATGTGGAGGAGATGAGTGAGGCTGTGACAGAGGCCCTGGGCACCTTCACTTTGAAGGCCTATCAGCAGGCCTTCAGGCAGTGACAGGAGCGCTAAAGCAGATGCATTGGACTCGGGAGGTTCCATTTCGAGAGTCACAGATATAGAAGTTTCATGCTTCTCTGAAACAGACAACTGTCTCTACTGAAAAAGTCTCAAAACTTCTGGAGTGCACCACGTACAAGATACAAGTTTGGTTGATATTGCTCTTTCCTAGTGTATTTCTTGACCGGCTAACTGACACCTATGACAGGTCTACCTTTGTTACTAGACCGAATTTCATTAGCCCAGCTCGATGGATTCACGCTACTTCGCAAGTCCATCTCCCATCACGCCGTATGTGACACCGTATGTGACGCCGCCCGGCCTCCGTCCGTGCCCCCAGATCGTCTCGCTGACGGAGCTGATGGCCGGTGTCAAAGCTGAGGTGAAGACGTGCCAGCTGTTCCAGCTGACCTGCTGGCCGGCCGGCTACAAGGTGCCCACCTCCACCAACGCGCTCGTCGAGCTCATGAACATGGTGGAGCGGTGGCGGCAGCGCTCCGGCTACGGGCCCGTCGTCGTTGTGTCGCCGTGAGTGCTGTGGGCAGCCCAGTTCGCTGGGACTCGGGACGTCCGTCCAGCCCCGTGTCCGCGCAGTGTCCTGCCGATAGGTGGCAGCCTGGTGGACGTACCGCCGGGTTGTTGGCTTATGTTGCACTGTGCCGAAAAGACGACCCACGGAATGTTTGAGGTTCAGACGGAATGATGGATGACATCGGGCTGAGGCGGTCATCAGTCGGTGCGCCCCCGTGGCTCTGCTGTCCCGATGGGTGGGCTGAAAGGATAGGTCACCCGCCGCAGTGGCGCAGCCAGGATTTCGTTTCGGGGGGGTCATCGCTTCCAAAGCGGGCCCCCTAGTGTGCGGGCCCCCACCCATTTTTCAGAATCTCTCCATATTTCATACGCATTCTGCTGGGCGGGCCCCCTTTACCTGCACGATAACCCTGAGCGAGTTTGAATCAGAAAATTTGCATAGAACAGTAGCTCGGTAATCACCCGGTCTTCACTTTTTACGCAAATTGACCACGACAGAAATATGTTACTATGACGTATGACTTCGTATCTTTCGAGTCCGATATGAGCCCCAATTCCGCAATATGCATAGCATATTATATGCAATCGGAACTGTTGCCTGCTTCTGTCGCACAAGATTTAAAAGTAGTCCCATGTGCCTGTCCTAAGTCATCTATTGGCTGCTGTAGTAGATTGTGCTTTTATTCTTCTTCATTACGTGAATTCGCTCGTAAGAAGTTTTAACCCTCGCCGGCACAGGGGGGAGGGGTTGATGCAACCCCCTAAGGTTTTTTTTCGCGAAGAACTCGCGTAAAAAAGCGGCTGATCGCGACGTAACTTCCATAGTGCGCTGAAATTCGCGCAACTTATAGAACAAGGATGGGTAACGTGCCTGTGAAGAGTCACAGCTCGATCGGGCCGGTGGTGAGCACATGGCGCGTGCTCAAAAAGTGCAAATTCGCGTCATAGACTTTACATGCATAAATCGGCTTGCAAAAATGGGCGACAATGGCTCAACTTGCCCGACACGGGTCCGGTCCCCGTGCAGTATCTCGGTAACCGTGGGTCCGATCGGCACGAGGAACACAGTATCGTGCATGAGAATCGAACGGGCTATCGAATGGTGTGCGGTGCAGGGATGGCACGCGCCACGTGCACCCGTGAGGGCACTTATGCTTGAAAAATTGACGTTTTGGACGGATTTTGGACTTAATGCTATTTTTGGGTGACTGTCAGACAGAGCGGGTTCAAACAACGCTTGTTGGCAAGAGAAATGTACCTACCGCCTCTCATGGGAAAATTGTGAAAAGCTAATTGATCAAAAACAAGGTGGAACAAATTGCTGGAGAAAATAGCATTTGTTTATGACTTACTTAATTACAGGGGTTTTGCTACATAACCTGGTATGTTTGACAATTGAAATGGGCATAGATTGGAAGAGCATTCAATTGTGACCAAGGTCCAATCATCGCTTTTGCATGACGAGCAACAATATTCTTAAGAATATAAATGTTTCAAACCTCTACATAGTAATTCATCGATGGCTTTCACTCTTCAATAACCTACGCCAACCTATGTCATGAAATACACTTGGCATGTTCTATAGTAGAACGCATGGTTTTTATCAGACACGAGCACCTCGATGCGATGGATATTTTTTTCCCAAAACCAAAATGCTTAGCCGTCGAAAGGCAATCGACCGTAATGGATACATAACCCACAGACACAAGACCAACCAAACGCCCACCGATCGAAAATACCCCTTATTCGCGTTGCGAAGCAAGCGGGTCACCCTAGCGGGCCCCATTCACCCGGGGGCTCGGGCCCTATCCACATGGGGGACCAAGCCCTATCCATACGCGGGGGCCCGGGCCACGTTCACCTGGGCTCCGGGCCTCGTCCACCCGGGGCTCCGGGGCCCGCCCACCAGGGGGCCCGGGCCCCATCCAGCCGGGGGCCCGGGCCCCGTCCACCCGGGGCCTGGGGTCCGTACTCCCGGGGGCCCGGACCCATCCATCGGGGGGCCCGGACCCATCCATCGGGGGGCCCTGGCCCCATCTACCCGGGGGGCCGTGCCCCATCCACCTAAGGGGCCCGGGCCCGTTCTCCCGGGGCCCGGGCCCCATCCACCCGGGGGCCTGTGCCCTATCCACCCAGGGGCCCGTGCCCTATCCACCCAGGGGGCCCGGGCCCGTTCTCCCGGGGCCCGGGCCCCATCCAACCGGGGGTCCGGCCCCGTCCACCCGGGGCTCAGGGCCGTTCTCCCGGGGGCCCGGGCCCCATCCAGCCGGGGGCCCGGGCCCCCTCCACCCAGGGGGCCCGGGCCCGTTCTCCCGGAGCCTCGGGCCCCATCCACCCGAGGGGCCTGGACCCGTTCTCGCGGGACCCGGGGGTCCGGGCCCCGTCCACCCGGGGCCCGTTCTCCCGGTGGCTCGGATCCATCCACCGGGGCCCCATCCGCCGGGGGGCCCGGGCCCTATCCACCCGGGGGCCCGGACCCATCTACAGGGGGCCCGGGTCCCATCCACCCAGGGGGCCGGGCCCGTTCTCCTGGGGGCCCGGGCCCTGTCCACCTGGGGCCCCAGACCGACCCCTCACCCGAGGTGTCGCAGTGGGCATTTCTCGAAGCGGACTCGTCCGATTAGATTAGGACCTCTCTCTCTCCTCTCTCTCTCTCTCTCTCTCTCTCTCTCTCTCTCTCTCTCTCTCTCTCTCTCTCTCTCTCTCTCTCTCTCTCTCTCTCTCTCTCTCTCTCTCTCTCTCTCTCTCTCTCTCTCTCTCTCACTCTCACTCTCTCTCTCTCTCGAGCGGGCCCCTGACAGAAATTTCGGGGGGGTCAGCTGACCCTCTGACCCCCCCCTGGCTGCGCCACTGGGTCACCGAGTCGAATAGCTACCACGCCATGAAAAGTTTACTCCAGTGGAGGTCCTCCGCCTCAAACTCATCTTCTGTTGGCCGTCAGGCCCGGAGCACGTGAGAAAATGATTGATGAAGGGCCGGGAGGGTCCCGGGGATAGAAAAGACGAATGATCGCTGGCCTCTCCGGCGTGCCTTGGTGATGTGGTGATTAATGATAAAGGCGGGCCTTGGTGAGCTTGCTGATTTGACTAGGGTGGGGTCACAAACGTGCCAGATGAACCGATGGTGCTGGTTTTGAGCCGAGGGAGCGTGCATTGGTTTGGGTACGGAGCCGCGAGGGCGATATTCGGTGATAGACAGCGGCCATCGTTCCAGGGCTTGACAGCTGTCGCAGCAGCACCCGCCAGTATAACCAATACGAGTAGAACGGCATCGCTCAGTGGCTACCGTGTCCACCGATGGGTTGTCCCTTAAAATCCGCCTCCGATTGTCCATCGTCCGCCCATGCTGCTCCACGGTTCGGTGATAGCCGTAAATGTCCCACGCCTACCCCTTTCGGTGAGAATTAATGTCGAGGTGACCTGTTCTGCTCAGCTGCCCAGTTACAGCTCCTGCTGACCGTTGCCAACCCCACAGTGACGGCCAGTGCCGCGTGGGCGTCCACCGTCTAGTTACATTCCGCATCATCCCACTGACCCGCGCGCACAGTGACGGGCTCGACCTAGTGACCCGGTGTGACTTCCTCCCACAGTGACGGCCAGTGCCCATTGGGCAAGTTTTTACATTTCCCGTTTACATTTCCCACTGTCCCACTGACCCGCACCCCTCCCTCCCCGCAGTGACGGCCAGTGCCGTGCGGGCGTGTACTGCGCGGCCAACGCGTGCATCGAGCAGGTGATCCAGCACGGCGAGGTGGACGTGTTCCAGGCAGTCAAGACGGTCCGCCGCCACCGGCCGCAGCTCATCTCAAACATGGTCAGTGCCGCCGGGGTGGGCCAACCAGGGCTATTGTAGAATACTTCTGTCAGCATTCTCTAGAACAAAGCAAATGCATCCAACCTGTCAGTTTAAAATGCAGTTTGTTTTCTGTGGTTCCTATGCTTCCGGTGCGTTTCATTATTGTCATTGATGCTGTCGCTGTGCCGATTGGGTGCGAACGCTGTTGCTGAGGTGTGTGTCGTGTTGATAGGCGTTGACAGCGAGGGCATCTTCAGGCTGTTTTCAGTGGTATATTGTGGTACTCAGTATTTGGATACATATACGCTAGTCATTATCGACGTTAAGCATCAGTATAAGTCAAGGTTGTGCGACTCAAACGCGTTTCTGTCCATTTTTCAGACCGAGTACAAGTACTGTTACGACTTGGTGTTACACTACGTGCTGCACTACCTGAACCAGGAGGCGAGCGGCCACTGAGCGCGGTCGGTCCGTGTGACGGTCGGTCGGGCCGGACCGGGGCCGGTGTGTGACTGTGGTCTGTGGCCGCGGCGTCCAGTGAGCACAACTGCGCCGGCCGGTGGCTGATCGGACTGTGATGGTGCCGTGTGACGGCCGCTGTCGCCGGACGCCCGCGGGCAGCGGGGACGTTCTCCGGTGCAGTCGGCCCGCCGAGTGAGAGACAAACAGCACGCGGCCGGCAGGTCCCGGCGCGAAATAACCAGCTTCGTAGTGGGCAGACGGGCGTGGGCTTATCTGAAGTAACAGCTCGGTATCTGAGCATCTGCGACTGACCTGTATCGCTGTAGGGGCGGTATCTAACGCCGTGACGGAGAAAACGTGTCGCCTTATAACTGTACCTTTGAGATCTGTTCACGTGACGGAGCGAGTGTGGCGCCCTCGCGTGGTCACCCGCGGTGGGTGTGTGACGGCGGTTTTATCCGCCCTGTGCGACTCCGCTGGACGGAGGTCCTGCACAGTGGAGACTCGCGCCGGCCAGAGCTTGACAGGCCCGTTTAGCCATTACATTGTGATGCTATTTTAGAGCAAGAGATTCATATACATAAGATAGGGTGTATGTTTAAGCGGGGGATGCCGCAGTGGGTCGATCCGCCCTCCACGTCCGTTTAAGGTATGTACGATATTTTACGACTGTTACAGATCTAAGTTGGGGCGGTATTTGTATACCGTGCCTTCCGGAGCTGGTAGGTAGGGGCGCAGCTGCTGGGGCCGTGGCGGCAGCTATGGCTGACAGTGTAACCTGTGCCCGAGTGTCCTGTGTATCTGTCAGACCGTCCGTCTCGGCCGGGACTCCCAATGGGCGACTCTGACTCCCAGGTCTGGTGGCCTGACGCTCGGCAGTGGTCAGCAGATGATACAGAGGGGTCCGCCACCGGTCCGCGGCGTGGGCAGTCCGAGCTGCCGTACACAGAGGGCGTCACTGAGCGGCCGCTTCCGACAGAGCCCGTATCCGAGCCGGGGTGCAATGTTTTCGGAGGACGCCGACTGACCTGTTTTGTACGGTGAATGACGAGAATGCAATATACGACGGATGGTACAGTCGTGTACAGGTTGATGGTCCTCTACTCTTTATCCACCGGGTTCCTATGGCTCAGCATTGGCAGCAGCCGCCTGGTACCGGTAGGCTGTGCCGCATGACCCGAAAGTTATGCGGCACAGTCTACCCGCGCCGTTTGACATCGGCTCGGGTCGCCGGGTGGAGCGCTTTGTAGACCAGCTGTTGCGTCAGACCAGCGCGGGGGAGGGCTCGTCTCACTGGTTGGCGTGGGCTGGCGAGTGGTGTGGGGCGTGTTGGTGGACCATTGGGGCTGGTCGGGTGTGTGTGGTCACTTCCTGGACCTGCATTGCACATTTTGCGTCGCTTAACAATTGCATTCCTGTTTTTGATAAGCACAATGCACGGAAGACCCAGCTAATATAATTTACTTTACTTGTGCATTGTGCAAAACGTGATTTGGCACGGTATCGAGGCAACCATAGGTCTTATGCCTATGCATGATATTTAGGCAATACGTTTATGAAAACGGTAGATTGATGCTGGATGTCAATTCGTATGCTAAATGTCGGCACGTATTAAATGAATGAATGAATCAATCAATCAATCAATCAAACAATCAATCGACATGTATAAAACCGTAGGTATAAATGGCTCGCAACCACTTATAGCAATCAAACCATCCTAACTCGGAAAAGCAGCCGGAGCCCTGGTGAGGCTCGAACCGGGACTCCACGCTGTAAATTTTGCCAATGATCTATCATCATTCCACCAAGCTAGAGTGACCGGCACCCAAATCCACAAAAACATTAATTGACTTTGCCGCCGACCTCCCGGCTCCGCCGCCCGCCCGGCCAGACTTTGCCCCGGCCGTAGCCACCATCCGGTAGTGACTCAGATAGTGGTTCATATTAGTGGCAATTGGTGTCCACGGCGTGTACTATCCGTGCGTCCTGGAAGTATCGACTGCGACTGTGTCGCCGGCGGCCGACGGGCCATCTCGGTTGGAGGGAGACGAGGGTGCATCAGTCGACGGTCTATCTCAGCCGGCGGGGGGGGGACGATCTCAGTGGGCGGGGTCGAGGATACCGGCCGACGGCCTATGTCAGCCGGCGGTCATCCGTCAGCCACCTCTCCCGTCGGCGCGGATTGACCAGTCGCTCCATCCGGACCCAGTGGGCGGTGTCGACTACCTCTCCTGTCGGGGCGCATGGGCCAGTCGCTCCATCCGGACCCAGTGGGCGGTGTCGGCTACCTCTCCTGGCGGGGTGCATGGGCCAGTCGCTCCATCCGGACCCAGTGGGCGGTGTCGGCTACCTCTCCTGGCGGGGTGCATGGGCCAGTCGCTCCATCCGGACCCAGTGGGCGGTGAAAATCCGGGTCTTCCTTTTTCGGGTCTTCGGTGCTAATGGTCGATGATCACGCTTTTCTTCGTCGCAGGTCGTTGGGGGGGGGGGAGGAAGGGGTCCCGGGCCCTGCACTGCTGTATCCTTGGCTGCTTTTATTGTAACGCACCGTCGCACACTGGTCGGAAACGCCCTCACGAGAGGCCACGGGCGATTCCGGAGTTTCGGATTATTTTTTATATAGATCGATTTGAAATTGATCAAATTATTATACTTAGGCCAAAAAAACTAATTCGGGTGACCAAAAATAACTGTAATCAGCCCCCGAAGATGGGGTATCCCAGAACTCGGAAACTGACGCGGAGCAAGAGGTTTCTTGAGTCGGATATTCAGAGTCTTATTGCTGATAGACATCAAATTGAAATCCAACATATTATGCATCAAAATGTTCGTTATGAAGTTGCCGACTGGTCAGTGCAAAATTTTTGGTATACTTTTTCCCTAACTAAGATTTACTGTAGCTTTTTTATGAAGGCTCTCCTACATTGATTCTAGAATAGGTATAACTGCAAAGTTTAGGTAAGGAAACAACAGGTAGTCCCATCTAGTTCCACTCTGATTTTTTTGTGAGATGAAGTAGGATTTAAATTTACACCAGGGCAACATAAAAGCTAACTGCGCATATTTGCGCAAAATTTGCAGGAGCCGCTCTTCCTACCCAACTACCGCCCGCCCCGCCCCAGTTTTGGCTCGGCCGCCGCGCCCGGCTTACGCTGACCTGTGTGGCCTGCACGCATCCATGCGTAGTTGACTGGTCATTAAAAACAGATGCACTTGAGTTTATGAATTTTGTGAAAAGCGCGATTTATGTATGCATTTATGTATGCATTGACATTAAAAGCCTTCCACATATTGCGTGGCGATTACGGCTTGCATTTAGAGAGCATTGCTATTGACAACCATCACTCGGCTGAAGAAAAAGGAAATTGAAACCTTCGTGAATATAACACGCTGCAAATATAGGACACCTGGGGCATTCCACGATAGATCGTACCAGGCCCGTCACCCTCATCTCTCAGATTTTAATGAAAATCGGTCCTAGGGGTAATCATAGGCCCCAAAGACCCCTGGCAAAATATCAGACTTCTCAGATCAAAACTTTTTGAGTTATATTGCATTACATTTTTTTTTAACTTCGGTTTGTAACGGTGAGTTTGATGGCCTATAACTCAAGAACGGGTTAAGCAACCAACAAAAAGTAAACATCACTAAGCTTGCGATGAATCAAAAATTAATATTACTTTTTAAAAATTCGAAAGAAAAAATTTCATTGTTGAGAAAAAACCTTAATATTTTTTCATTTGCCTCTAATGACTTTTGGGACCAAAATTTTTCACATTTTTATTTTTTCAAAATTAACTTCATGTCATTGCAAATCGACTTGCAAAAAAGTTAGAAAGGTGTTCTTTCTATAAGTTCCTCATTTTCCCGCAAACAAAATGGGTTTCGGAGGGGTTGATACGACCCCAGCACGCAGTTTCGCTTCTAATAGAGCTAGAGCCTCGCGGAAAAAAAAAACGAGCGTGTGTGCCGTTACAAGTCGCAGCGATTGGTACCCGATTTTAAGGTCTCAGGTTAACCGGTAGCGTCTGAGGTCAGGTCAAGTGACTGAAGTTACGGGTTCGGTTTTTAGTAAATAACTTCGCAAAAAATGGCCGCAGAGCCGCGATTTTGGCATCATTGTGTTCGCCTAGCTCAGGTGCATCGAATGGTATACTTTTTGCTAGGGTGAGGTCAACTTAAGTAGTTGACCTCGGGTCAAGGTCAGGTCAGAGCCCCTCAGGTCACGAAGCTGGGCAAAGGGTATCATATGGCATATCATTCGATTCGGAAGGTCTTCCCGAGTCCATTGGTGGCTATCCCGACTCTCTAGCTGCATTTGATCGGGAGTTATTGACGAAAAACTAGTACGACCCTAATGACGTCATAAATGACGTCACGCAAGGTTAACAATGCAAAAGTGAAGCATTGGACTTTGCAAGGAGTGCATGAAATCACGATACCATGTACGTGAGATAGTTTTAGATCATTCTCGGCGCCAAAATAACAGTTTTTATATTTCCCCATTGATTTATAACAGTGATGTCACGTGACCGACCTGACCTCATGTAACCTTAAAAAATTCCCAGATATACAGGTTGTGAGACCTCTGGAGGACACCATGTATGCGTCCTGTAACTTTCATCTCGGACAGCTATGGTCATTGGCGTCCAAAACAATGTCAGAACCAAACAGCCTTTTTCACCCTCGCGCTTATAAGAAAGAGGGTTGGATGAACCCTCTTTTCACTTTTTTCAGATGACTCAGACTTCAATTGAAATTTCAGTAACCCGTGATGTCATTAGGCAGCTTTACCACGCCATTTGTAAGCTCCCCTCCCGAAATCACTGTTGGAAACCGTTATCGTGACGTAAAATAAATACATTTATAGAAAGAACACCTTCCTAATTTTTTGCATATTTCTTAACAATGAGCCGATTTTTTTTTTTTTAAGAAATATTAAATCAAAAAAATTTGGTCCCAAAGTCCAAAAAAAAAAAAAACAAATGTAAGAAAACTCGATGTCATATATCAAAAATAGCGTATTTTTTGAAATTTTAAAAATGCATATTAATCTCTGTTTCATTGCCAGTTCAATGTTATATAACATTTGGCATTTCAATAATCCGTCTTAGAGTTACAGCCCGCCAAACTTAGCGCTGCAAAGCAAGATCCAAAAAATGTTATACACCATAACTCAAAAAATACTTATCTGATAAGCCTGAAATTGTTACAGGTGGATTCAGAGCCCCTGATTACCCCTGAGACCAATTCTCTTCAAATTCCGAGAGATGATGGTGTCAAATTGGAAAAAAGTGGTACGATCTATCGTGGAATGCCCCACCTGTCACTGACGTCGGGTTACCTTGGGCCGTCTTTTTATCACAATTCCGGTATTTAACCCTGGCCGGACCGATTGGTTTTCTATATTGACCGGGGAGGGTTGGTACATACAACTCCCTCGCCGTTTCGCTTCTAACTGAGCTAGAGCCTCGCGGAAAAAAAAACGAGCTTGTGTGCCGTTATAAGACGCAACAATTAGGTACTACCCGATTTTAAGGTCTTAGGTCAGCCAGTGGCCTCTTAGGTCAGGTAAGTGCCACAAGGCATGGGCTCGGTTTTAGGTTAATTACTTTGCCAAAAATGGTCGCACTGCCGCGATTTTGGCATCATCGTGTTTGTCTAGCTCAGGCGCGTTGAATGCTATACTTGGTGTTCGGGTGAAGTCAACTTAAGGTGTTGACCTCGGGTCAAAGGTCAGGTCGGAGCCCCTCAGGTCACGAAAATGGTTGAAGGAGGTCATATTGCATATCATTCGATTCGGCAGGTCTTCCTGAGTCCAATGGTGGCTTTTCCGACTCTCTAGCTCCATCTGATCAGGAGTTATTGACGAAAAACTTATATGGCCTTAGTGACGTCATAAATGACGTCACGCAAAGTCAACAATGCTAAAGTGAAGCACTGGACCTTGCAAGGAGTGCATGAAACCATGCCCGGTGCCCGAATAGCAGCTCCCAATTTCCCTTGTTGACTTAAAGTAGTGCTAGATGATAGATCCTGTATTATACTCAATTATGACGTCATAACTTAACAGAT